AGCATTTGGTTTCTTTTTTGTGGGGGGGAAGGGAGAGGGAAAAAAAAAAAAAAAAAAAAAAAAAACAGGGAGCGAGAGTGACAAAATCTACGGATCCTAAAAGATTTCCTTTCTTCACGAAGAAAGGAAATCATGAAAGTGCTTCTTTATTTATCTTTGTTCTGGCGCCTCTTGGTGACCACAAATAAGTATTGCATCCTTAAACCATTAAACGACATTATCGCGATGCTACACCGTCACACCGATTTGAGTCCAACTTTCAGCAATAGGACAGACAAATACGGCTTAAATGATAAACCCGAATATGATTAGATTAAAAATAAGGGTCCGTCACTGTCAGCTAATTTCTCATTTTCTTTTATTTATGTCCCTGCTACTCTGCTGGGATTTGAAGGCTGAGCTATATCTGCATGCTTGCTAATTAATTCTTATCCCAGCATGGACAGAACAGATGGGGCCGCAGGTTTTGCCAGCATTTGATTGTGTTGAATTCTGAGAAGAAGAGAGGAGGGGGGGAACAAATGTAGGTTTATTTGCTTCATCAGTAGAGGGAGCCAAACACCACAGGAAAATCCCGGGAAGAGTCATTCTTCATCATCTAGATTTAGTCCTCTTTCTTCCTAAGAATGATAGTTATTAATAGGCCGGTCATTTTATTTTGGATTGAAAGAGAGAGGGAAAAGCAGATAACGATAAATCATGCAGACTGAAATTATTGAACTTGTTTTAATTTATTATGCGATTAATTGATGTATTTCTTATTGTAACAGGCCTAATTGTTTGGAAGAGAGATTTTTTTTTGTTGCTGCTTAAAAAAAAAAAAAAAAAAAAAATCCATCTTATTTATCCATCATCTTCCACCAAGATCAGGTCATAGTAGAAGCAAATCCACGAGCAAAACTCAGACTTCTCTTTCTCCGCCATCACTCTTCTGCTCCTTCTCTCTTCGCTTCCCCAGGCTCTGGTGGTTCTATGTAGTTCCTCTGATAACGTTTTGGCCTGGCCGAGTGTCTCCCAACAGTGAGATGTGGCATGATCAGATGCCTGAATCATCTACTCCAAGCAAATGAGGATGAATCATTTGAGTCTCCCTCAGGTTGAAACAGTTAATCTTTTTAGGAAGTAACGTAGCCAGTAAGATACATCCATCCGCAACGTGATGAACTGCACCATCTCTGGTTGAAGCGCCGCTTGGTTCGCTGACTCGCGGCAAGCTGTCGTTTAGAATAAAAGCACAAAGACTTAAAGATTGATGCAGAAAGTCCCAGAAAGGAAACCGGCAGATGACTGAGGAATACATACAGAAGAAATGAGGCCGACATTTCTGCTGCTGACCCACATCAAGAGCATGTGGAGCATCAGGACATTTTCCCTGTTGCTGTTCTTGGTTTCAGTGAGCAGATATGCTGACTAAAACATCCTGGGAAAAAAACCACGATATACTTCCTCATGAGTTGTTGCAGTAGCTTTAAGTATCTGATCCATGTTGAAAGGAATCACCTGACGTTAATACCAGTTTTTAGGAAAGATAGGAGGCCTTTAAAGGGCTGGTACGTCTAACTCGTAAGCTCCTTCTACAGATGGAAATAATGAGGGATTAGTAGTAAATCCCAGCTGAAACCACAGCCTGACAGATGACTTATTATATTGCACTAAGTGAAGTTTGTGATTAGCCTCGGGCGACACTGTTGAACAGAAATTTCCACCCAATTTCTTTTTCAAGTGTGTTACATCCATTAGACACTAAAAGACAAAATTTGAAGAAGAAGAAAAAAATGTTTCTAATGATTGTTAAAGTGCAGCTCGGATTACACATAGTTACAGAGGAAAGATGATTCCCTAAACTGACAGCAGCCAAATGAAACCTGTTACTTTTTTTTTTAAGTTTGCAGGCTATCAAAGCGTTAGCTTTCAGATATTTTAGCTGATACATGGTGGTGATTTTGCAGTTGAGTGATGTTCAGCTCATTCAGTGGAGTCATTAGTCTCAGTATGTCTTCTTTTTTTTAGTTTGCTCATTGTTCATAATAGAAATGCCAATTAATATGACTACAGTGATACACTTTTCACATTTCAAAAGTATTCAATTACATGTTAAATTATGAGAAACCCGTGCTCTTTCTCTAATCTTTTAGATAATTGCCTGTCTTTTATACCAGACAGCCAATTGTGTCTTTTACAAACCATAACAGCCAATAGAAAACCTCAGACGCTGTCAGGTTTTCACTTTCTACAGTGAAAACCGTTGAGCTCAGTTAAGAGCTAAAACAACAATGTTTTATTAATTTGATCTTTGGTTTGAAGCTCACAACATTTACTTTAATTCCACAGGTTTGGATGTTAAGATAAAAACAACTCAGGTCGTTGTAGTGTAAATGGCAAAAAAAAAATAAAAAATAAATAAAAAAGCATTAGTTTATTCATTTTTATTCTGAAACTTGGTTTTCTTTGTGTACTTCTGTTTTTTGTTTACATTTTTTTTTAAATAGAAATGTAATTATTACTTATTGAGGTGGTCGCGGTGGGGGTTTTATTCATTTGTAGCTTGGTCATGGTGTTAAAAGTAAGAATTCAATGGGATCAGGCTGAGAAGCAAGTTTTATAACAGGACCATCATGGATGCACACACGGAGCAGGCTGCGATACGGGCGGGCCCCCGCTGTCTGCTTGTCCTGTATGTTCTCTGTGTGACGTCTCCCTTTATTCCATCCTTATCTCTTAAACATAGCCAGCTGGTACTAGGCAGAGGTATTCATCCAGTCCATCCTTTCTTTTCTTTCCTGCTGTCCCAGCTGCTCTCTCTACCTCTCTCTCTGCCCCTCCTTTAGCTCCCCCCCTACCCTCCTCTCTTCTCATCCTCCTATCTCAGCCTCCCATCCACTGTCATTTCCCCGCTGTCCCAGCTAGACGTGGTGGACTGAGCGTGTGCGGCTGCGTGTACACAGAGGATGGCTTGCTGCTCAGGTGCAGGTGGCAGACTCGGGGAACCAGTCAAGCGGGCAACAGGATTTTTCTATTTACCCAGACAGCAGGATGTTTTGTTGGGGTAGGAGCTGGAGCTTCGACCTCTTTTTTGGACCTGCCACCTAGGAGCTCTTTTAGTGTTCCTGCAAATGAGATATTTTCACACCTTTTTCTGCTGCAAAAAGAAGACAATTTTAATTGTTTTAAAATCATAATTATTTAATATTTTCAATTGCTTTCTGCACGTAAAGCAGTGGAAGGAGATTCCTTTTCTAAAGTGGGATTTTGAGGAGGTGAAACAGGAATGTGCCACGGTTCTGCTTCAATCTGGATCACGGCATCGGCAGTGTGAATGGCTGCAGAGGAAGAAAGAAGAGCTCTGCAAAGAGGCAAATTTTAAAAGTCCCTCCCAGACAATCATCCTCCTGCACACCTGTGCGGGCTCCTCCTCTGGGAAAAGGGAGGACAAGAAACTAATTAGGAGCTAAGAAAAAAAAACAAACAAAAAAGGGTAAAGTCCATATCTTCTACCCCCTGCTTCCCACCTGTCTGGATTAACTAGGCTGGATCACCATGGCGCATGCCGCCTCGCAGCTGAAGAAAAAGGCGGATGAGAATCTTGCTGCTGCGGAGGAGGAGAAGGAGAAAGAGAGAAAGAGGGCAAGAAAGCGATCACGAGAAGTCAAGAAAAAGGTAAAGAGATTTGCAACGAGAAGAATGGAGTGAAGTGATTGAGGGATGGGGGGATTGGGGGGCAGCTTTAGTCTGGCGGAGCCCAGGAGCCTCTCTTTTGTCATGATGCAGCTCCTCTCTCAGACGCGCACACAATCCTACATGCACATGCATTGAGATGAGAGGGGGCAGTCCCAGTGGGAATACTCAGGAGGGTGGATGGGTGGCTGAAAACGACAGAAAGATGGATGAGCAGGGAGCACGCACAGCAGGGGGAATAAATAGCCAAACGGAAACCAATATTAAAGGAGTTGCTCATACAGCTGAGCTATAAAACATCTGGAACTTATAGGTTTCCCCCTTTTTTCAACATCGATTATTTATGCTACCAGGGCTGCCATCGTGTCTCCCAGCTTTTAATTTTTTTTCCTCTAATGCCTGCTTTCAGGTTGGCTTCAGAGCACCTCACAGTTCCTTTTTATTTATTTATTTTTTTTTTTTTTTGCGATGAGAACGTATGTGATTTTAGAGGAGAGAGCAGTACATATCAGCAGAACGCCACAGCGCTCACGCCCTGCAGTGAGGCGTGGGCCGCTCTCGGTGCGTTTGCGTGCAAGGCCCTGTTTGTGCAAGGACAAAAGTTTAGGCTTGATCTTTGACACAGAGAAACACCTACATGCCGGTCAATAGGTCGGACTTGAAATCAATGACGTCTCCGCCTGCAGTGACGGTTTCGTTTGGGTGTGAGCGTTTCAGCTGAGGCCGACATTAATGAAGGCGTCAGTCTTTGAAAAACTTTCTTGACCTTTGGGTTTGTTTATCTAGCTACAGTTGTGTCGGGGATTAACATCATGCGCGAACACTGAAATTTGGGCTTGTCTGTTTTGGGTAGACCTGTTTGAGGTCGTCATTGGCTTAGCGTTACCCACCTGTTGTTAGGCGTCAATGCGGTGACCTCAAAAATCAAGGTTAAGATGGATGGGGCGCAGATGGACACACTGTAAGGAACTATTATTTACATTTATCAGAGAGAAATAAGTAGCTTTGTTGATCAGGACAAATAGAGCCCAAGCTCTTGAGTTCATAAGATAACACCATAAAATTTTATAATATAAGATGTAATTCATCTTTTATCATTATCTTGATCTCTCAAGATACTGATACTGTTATCGCAATATTTTTTTCTCCTGATCTAACAGTGTGATTTGAACCCTAAATATGCTTAAAAATTCTAAATCAAATTTCTTTAGATCAGCACCATTATCATAAAACCTGTTTGAGATCTTTGTTTGTCAATATAACAACAAAAACTTTAGATGTTGATTTTTTTTAATATACCAAAACATAATTAAGATCTTTGTATCTTTATAAGACTAAAAATTGTTGAAACCTACAGTTTATCTATAAAATAAAATAATAAAACAAATATCACAGCAGAATAAGTCTGATGTCTTTACATCTAAATACAACATTACATTTTGAAAGCTCAAAACATTGACCTCTCAATATAAGAAGACAGTTAAACCTATTTTCACAACAAAATCCACTCGAGATTGTTGTTTCTTGGTTTATTGTAGTGAATGTAAAAATATTTAAGAGTGTCATATTAGCTGATCTTTGTATCGTTTGCTATATCAAATAAAAAAATATAAAAAAGAAAACTGTTTATAATACTGTTCTAATAAAATCTTAATTCAAATTTTAACCACATAATCAAAAATAATAATTTTTTACAATAACAGCTGCCTCTGTCTCAATGTTTTAGTTATGTTTTGTGACTCCAGAAGCATTTTTTCCACTTCCTTTTGTTCTTCAGCCATATGGGTTGAGCACCTGCAGGGAGGCATGCAGATTTTTTGCTGCTCAGGCACAAACAAGTCATCGTAGTTTGATGATCTAGTTTAAATTGTGGGGATGCTGATGAAGGGTCCACGCAAAAGGAGCTCACAGACTGCTAAAGCAAAGAGAAGACTGAATGCGGTTCTCTCTTGTGAGGAACATTAATCAGTGTCACCAGAGTAGCTGGCAGCCCGGTTTTTTCTTCCAGGAGAAAAACCAGGCTGCATCAGTTAAGAATTCAAGCAAAAATATCAAGGTGTTCTGTACAAGCAGTTCAGTTTCTGCCAGACTTATTAGGGCTGTGTTCATCTTAAGGTTTGTGTAGAAAATGGCCAACTTTACCTTTAATAAGTTTATTCATCAGGGTACTTCTATTAATCAGACAAGTCCAAACCAAACAGCTATGCCTGCTTCTGCTTGTTTTCGTTCAGCAATTCCTCTAGGCTAACAAAAAAAAAAAGACAAAAAAAAAAAAGGCAAATGAAAATCATAAAAACAGTTAAATAAGTGAATCATGGTGACCAGAAACATGAGGCACTGCAGTGCTAAAATGACATTCCTTTCACGTTGACTCTGACTCACGCAGATGGAAAGTAAACATCATCAGCAGCCATTTCTCTGGTTGTTGTAACTAACTCAATCTCAATATCGATACAGATTTATAACCAAAACATGTATGTAGGTAAATGGAGCAGGAATGTTGTGCAGCGTAAAAGGGGTGAGAGCATGTGTGCATGAACAGAAATGTACAGAAATAAATAGCAACCAGACAGCATAAGAAACATCACTCGGAATCAAAGTGTATTGTTTGACCTTGATTTCTGCCTCTTTACATTCAAGGCAACAGGTAAGGCATATGTTGTTGCTACAATAGGAAAAAAAAAAAAAAAAAAGGTCAGGTGACATCAGCAGTTTAACCGTGCTTGTAGCGTAACGTTGTGGAGAGCATATCGTCTATCCCTGGCTCATTCAAGGTAAATCTATATCGCTGTCTGTCCAGGGCCAGTCCTTGGCACCAGAGAGCAAAAAATATCCTCCCTCTCCTCGGATCACATCTCCTCAATTATGTGCCTTTTCTTTGCCTCACCTGACTTGGTTTCACCCATCCCATCCGGTCTAGCCTTTTTTTTTTTCTTTTTTTTCCCTCTTTGGCGAAGAAAATATCTCTTGACCAGGCAGATATGTTACAATTCTGGAAAATTTCAGATAACATACTTCTATGCATCTTGCAGCTGCATTGGATTTTTAGAGTTTTTTTTTTCCTTTATGTGTTTATTTACTGCATTTTATGATTAACACTAAGACATGAATGCCCAGGGCTAACGTGCTAAATCCATCTTAGAAAGCCAGAGGTTTGAAACCAATGCTTTCCTCAAAAGCCATTATGACTTTAGCATGTGAAGACAGTACAGTAGCTGTGATAAAAAAAAAAAAAAATGTTCATTTGATCTTGCGATAGATGTTTCACCCCCAAGTTACATAACTGCAACCTTTGTGAGTGAATATGTTGTTGCCGTATACGAATGGAAGTAGTTAACCTTCAACTACTGATCTTTAAGTAGTTGTCAGCAATGATCGATTTACGAGGGTCTTCTGACTTGTCACCAGAACTCTTCACAGTTTGAGACGTTTTCTCTCTGAGATCCAACTTTTAAAGGAAATGACACAGTAGCATCCAAATCCCAAACTGTGTTCTGGCTTCCAGTTATGACATAAAAGCTCTGTGGAGCTTTTTTTAGAAAAGCTATCATTTCTCACACATTTCAAACATATCTTGACAGCAGTTGTTGTTAAGAGCAAATTGTTTACTGTCTTGTGTCACATAAATAAATATAGGCAGAATAAAGGGTGGTGAGTGTTTTAGGTAAAAGGACATTGTTGTTACAACTAAGCTAACTGTTGTTTTTTCTTGATAAGTTGATGCTTTTTTAAGTAACAGCATATTCTCAGAGACCTCAGAATATCTGTTCAAAAATCAATATTCATTTTACAGCTTTAATTATGCAGAGTGTAGATATACTTAGATTAGCTTACTGTGGCTTTATATATATATATATTTTTTAATCACAAGAAATCTTTCATATCTACTTGCAATTTTCTTTGTGAAGTTTGTTCAGCAGCCAGTGTTGCTACAGGAAGCTGCAAAACATGTATTAGGAGCCCCACTGAGAACTTGATACATGAGCAGCAGGCATTACAGCTAATAGCTGCATCTTCACACGAACTGACTGTCGAACTTGAAGCTGGTCGATGCTTTTAAGGACGCATGGCGTCATGAACAATGATTTCTCCTGCAGCGTCACAGTGAGTCACATTTTTCCACATTGAGGTGTTGATCTCTTCAGTTTTATTAGATAGCCAAAATGTGGCTGTGTATGGTTCTCAAGTATACAGATAACAAAATTGTCCATCTGAAAAGGACTTCTTTGGTACCATATCATCATACTCATGATAAGCCCAGTGGTGCCCCTACAAACAAAACACCAAGTTTCTGAAACAGGAGAGGGTTTAGTTCCTCCTGGTAAAACTATTATTTTAGTCTGCTGTGATGTGAGCAGCACAGCGCCACAAAGGGAGGGAGGTCCGTGACATCATTTCCTTTTAAATGAGAAGATGAAAATGTGATTGCTGCTTCTTCCGAGGATTATTATTTTTGGACTAGAGTCGATTCAACCTTTTTCAGTCTGTCCCCTCCGTCCCCGCTACCACCCACCCATCACTCTTTATCTGTTACTCTCCTCTCTCCTTCATGGGTGTCTGTCTTTGCCTCCCTCCCCATGCGGACATGGTTGTCAGCTGGCAGAAGCCCGTATTGTTCTTCCATAGCTCTGCTCCTGGGGTTTGGGGGCTGGAGCACAGTGCGCACATTTAAAGAGGTCCCTGGTGACCAGACGTTGCATATTAATCCCTTGAGACTTATTTAAGCCAAGCCTTGTGTTTGAAGCCTCCTCATTCCACCTGCTTTACAGCCAGCTCGCCCTTCCTCCTGCCGTTTTGTGCTCTTTATGCATGTTGTTGTTTGTGATTTCAATCACCTTAATGCAACAATGATCGACCCGACAATTTGATGCTTTTGTAGCTTTATAAACGCTAAGTGGTTGGACAAAAATGCGTTTTTGTTAGTTATTTTTAAGAGGTGAATGCACCGCTCCCGACTTCTTTCCGGCAGGATGGACAACAAC